ATGACCATCGCCCTCCCTTTGTTTTTGCTGGTACACAAACATTTCTGTCTGTCTATTTGTCTGTCTGTCAAGCTCCCTGTCTGTCCATCTAGCTCTCTGTCTCAGAGAGAGCCACAAGACTGTGTCATCACATTTACTCACATCTTCAAGCAGAGTATAGCACTTTGTCTGGATTTCTTGGGTTATCCTAGGTAATTTACACTATGTATACTTGTATTTATGTGTACCTGTGAGACAGGGATAGGCAGACAGATAGAAAGAGAGACAGATTGAAAGATATAGAATGAGGGAGAAAGATAATTAGATAGAATGGAGGAGGGGAAGCAGCATCCGACCCCATTGTTTTGACAGGCAGGAGGGGAGTGAGTAATGAGACAATATGTCACTTTGACAGCTGCCGACTTCTGACTCAAAACAATTATAAGCCACACACTCGCACACAAGACAAGGAGGAGGAGAAGGAGGAGGAGAAGGAGGAGAAGGAGGAGAAGGAGGAGGAGGAGAAGGAGGAGGAGGAGAAGGAGGAGAAGGAGGAGGAGAAGGGAGGAGGAGAAGGAGGAAAGGGGGAGGAGGAGGAGGAGGAGGAGGGGAGGAGGAGGAGAAGGAGGAGGAGGAGGAGGAGGAGAGGAGGAGGAGGAGGAAGAGGAGGGAGGAGAAGGAGGAGGAGAGGAGGAGGAGAAGGAGGAGGAGAAGGAGGAGGAGAAGGAGGAGGAGAAGGAGGAGGAGAAGGAGGAGGAGAAGGAGGAGGAGGAGGAGGAGGAGGAGGAGGAGGAGGAGGAGGAGGAGGAGAAGGAGGAGGAGAAGGAGGAGGAGGAGAAGGAGGAGGAGAAGGAGGAGGAGGAGAAGGAGGAGGAGGAGAAGGAGGAGGAGAAGGAGGAGGAGAAGGAGGAGGAGAAGGAGGAGGAGGAGGATTGTTTGTTTGTTTTTGTAAACAAGTTTTGTAAACAATATATTGATAATTATGTTTGTGTGCTTATTGTGTTGTATACAATGAGTGTATATATGTACATTGCACCTTACTTTGGTCTCATAGGCCACATAAGTTATGTGAAAAAATAAAATAGTGAAAAAAACAAAAAACCTTCAATTACAAGTAAACTAAAGTTTACCGGGTGAGCGGCAGTCGCCGCTGTTGCCATACGCGGCTCATTTTCTGCAAATTTCACGGCTCTATATCTCGGTAAGTACCAATGGCAAAAATTTTTTTTTTGGACTAAAACACTCAGAAAAATAATCTTAACATTTTCATAAGAAAAATAATTTTTTTTTTTAATATTTGGCGACATAGAATGACAGTTTCAGAGAGGGGCCTGAAACAGTCAAAGGGTTAATGCACACAAACTGAAGAAGACATGCACAGTTAGAAGTACTCTACTAACAATAGAATACATGACACTTACCTTTAATGAAGATCTGGTGATGATTGATGGGATGGGAGGAGGGGAGAGTGTCGAAGTTGTTAATGCTTAGAAGGGGAATCCCCTTCCATTAGGGCTTGAGGTAGCAAATCCTCTTCTGGGGATACTTCCCTTCTTCTTTTAATGCCACTAGGACCAGTTTGAGAGTCACTGGACCTCTGTCACACCACAAATCTGTCCATAGAGCTCTGTACCTCTTGTTCCTTTACGATTTGTCTAAAATGGGCCACAACATTGTCATTGTAATAGTCACCAGCTCGGCTTGCAATAGCTGTGTTAGGGTGATTTTCATCCATAAAGGTTTGCAGTTCAACCCACTTTGCACACATTTCCTTAATTTTTGAAGTAGGCACAATGGATTCCACAACTGGCATAGGCTTTTCAGGGTTAGCCCCAAACCCTTCAAAATCTTTCTTAATTTCCATACTAATTCTCACTCATTTTACCACAGGGTTGGCACTAGAAGCTTTCTTGGGGCCCATGGTGGCTTATTTTGCAGAAACAAGCATGAAAAACACTGTGATAATATGGAATGTACCGAATGTATGCTTAGAAGCGAGCACACCGGCTGGCTTGTAAACACTGGCACTCACATGGACGCGTCCCGGACGAATCGCATGTGGCGGGTTTTTTAACGAGTGGCGAGGCAAAATTTTTGCATTAAAATGTATCGAATACTGGATTTAATGTATACCGATGCCATCGAATGCCGGGGGTCCACTGTAATGATAATAATAATCACCGAGTCTCATTTAACCCTTTGACTGTCGCAGGCCCCTTTCTGAAACTGTCCTTCTATGTCGATAAATTTAAAAAAAAAAAAAAAAAAAAAAAATTCTTATGAAATGATAGAGAATCTTTTCCCGATGGTAATGACACCAAAAGTTAGAAATTTGGTCGAAAACTCACGGAATTACGCTCCCGCTAAGTTAGCGGTCTTGGCGACATATGCGTATTGGCGATTTCGCCGACTTTAAGCCCTGTTTTCAGCCAATTCTGTTGTTCCAGTTGACCAAACTCATAGCTATTTCTTTAGAACTCCATTTTATCTATCAGCTGAGTACAAGAAACTGCCCATTTACCAATTTGAACTACCCAATATAGTGGTCAGAAATTGGCAATTTGGCCAATTTCATGCAAATTAAAAAAGATGCCAATTTCAAAATAGGGTCCAGAATAAACAAGGTAGACATTCTTGGCACTAAAATAACATATCCTCTGTTCATTAGTCACATCTCTAGGCCCCTCTTGTATTATTATTGCTTTCTATTTTGATTTTTTATTCATACAAAAAAATACAAAATTTACTGTTATGCAGACTACTGCATTATTGTAAAAATGGTATAAATAATATCAGTGCACTAGTGAAAGAATATTAGACTCCCCAGTTGACGCGTATTGGACGAGTGGTGTGATTTGTTTACTCCTGAACATTGGTAAAAATTGAACATTTCCGCTACTTTGAGCTCAGTTTCAAGGTCGTTTTCATCGTCAAAGTAATGAAAATCATCTCTATTTCTGTAATATGTTTTCCATTTTATCACCTAAGACCATGAAAACGCGAATACAACGATAAATACTATACGAAAATATACCTCAAATTCGGCGTTTGAATCTAAAAAAACGATCAGTTTTTTTTTTCTCATTACGCACTGTGTGCTGCAGGATTTTTTTTATGTGGTGCACACTGACCACACAGACCCATTCTCTCACCTGTGCGCCTACCAGCTTTCTCCCGCTTGATTTGAAGCCGCTAGAATTATTGAGTATATATACGTCAGAAACAGTGGCGCGTAAGACATATTTATGCGGCGTAAACAGTCAAAGGGTCAAACATCGTATATTACATTAATATACACATTTTCATTAATCTATCTATGATATTTTTTCAAAATTATATAATAAACACAATGCATAACATATAATGATAAATACACCCCACAGTAGAATAAATAAACATAAATATGAGATGTGGTAGCTAGATGACTTGCACATGTGACGCCATATTAGATATGATGATAATAACAATAATAATAATAATAATAATAATAATAACCGAGTCTCATTAAATGTCGTATATTACATTAATATACACGTTTTCATTAATCCATCCATGATATTTTTTCAAAATTATATAATAAATACGATACATAACATATAAAGATGATAAATACACCTCACAATAGAATAAATAAACATAAATATGAGATGTCGTAGCCAGATAACTTGTTCAAGTGATGGCAAGAATAACATTTTCTCTAGTCTAACATAAGAGAAAACGTGTTACTGGGGGTAACAGTAGAAAATTATTCCTTTCGTATGTATGTAGGTTTATTCAGGTATACACAAATACAGTTACGTAGATTATCATACATAACAGCATATGTGTAGAGAACCTAGGATAACCCAAAAAAGTCAGACAGAGTGACTTATTTCCACTGCCTTCAGTCAGAGCATCATTTCTTCTAAAAATGGTGTTACATGAGAATGGGAGTGTTCTTCTTTATTTATTCTACCGTATCAATGTAGAGACAACTTGTATACAATATAACTTGTACACAAACAAGACTTGTACACTTTGTTTACAAAACTTATGTTCGCCTGGTTTGTTTACATAGCCCTGCACCTGTCCTCTCTCATGTACTCGTTCTCTCTCACTCTCATTTATTCGTTTTATCTTGTTTACTCACCCCTTACCCTACATTAAGACAACAAATATTTTAAGGTAAGTAATGGGTGAACTGTATATGCATTTTATCACTCTGGGATGCTTAAATATCATCGAATAGTATGTGTGGGTGTAGCCCGGCTGACTACCATACACACCACACTTGATTTCTTACAATAAATACTACTTATAACATAAGAATATAAGAAAGGAGGATCACTGCAGCACGCCTGTTGGCCCATACTAGGCAGGTCCTTTACAATCCATCCCACTAACAAAACATTTAGAACATAAGATTAAGACTACAAATATTTTAAGGTAAGTAATAAGTAAACTGTATATGCATTTTATCGCTCTGGGATGCTTAAATGTAAGAGAATATTATGTGTAGGTGGGGTGGCCTGGTATGGTAGCCTGGCTGACTACCATACATAATTTCTTACAATAAATACTACTTGTCTCACCCTAGATTAAGACTATAAGGTAAGTAATGAGTGCACTATGTGCGTATTGTACATTTTTATTGTTTTTTGATGCCTAGTTCTATTGCTAACTTAATATATATTAGTGTAAACTTGTTATCTAGTATTTTTATGCATTTATAAGTTGAAAAAAAAGGGTGTTTCACTTTACGGCAATTTCCGCTTTACGGCGGTAGCCTGGAACCTAACCTGCTGTATAAGTGGGGCCCTACTATAATCAGGTTTTTCATGAGAAACCATGAAACAAAAGTTTCAACATTTTCATAAATCTTCTTCTTTATATAATATGCTGCTTTATAATCATAGAGGACTTCTATTAAACTAAATGGGGGACTGATCTTATAAGGGTTAAAAATCATGCATGTTTGGATTTCCTAACACATGCTGGTTAACAAAGGAAGCAATTCAAATTTTTTATTTCCTAATACTTACTCGGAATGAAGTCTTATCCATGAGACGTCCCCAAGCGATCCTGCCCACTGCATTAAATACTGCAGCAAATGAACCAATTTCGGCTAAAAAATGATCATCGCTTATGAAAGTTTGACCAAAACTTTTATACATGGCATTAATGTAGCCTACAGCAATGGTGTTTAATAAATAAATACTCCAAAAGATGTAGAAATTTTTGTTCTTTATCACTTCTGCTGGTCGAACATCTGGAAAAAAAGGAATGTTATTAGGGTTGCCATATTAATATGTTTTATCATACTTAATGAAATAATATATTATTACTTTTTAACATTACATTCAGTTTTGGAAACTATTTTCTACAATAATTATATTATTTTAATGCACTGCTGTTTTCCATGAAGGTACAATGGTTCAGAAAAAGGAACATTTTTACCATCATACATTCAATAACTGTCTTTCCAAAAATACATGGACTTCACAATTCAAATAACAGTGTGAACTGCAACATTAAAAAGCATTCTTCAGAGGACAGGCGTTGTACTTTACCACATGTACTGTCCTTCACTAGCATCAAGGAACTTCTCGGCACCAGGAAATAATGAGAATACATCAGCTTAAAATTAGGATTTAATAAACCAAGAGTCAATCTGTGAAACAAGTGAGACTGTTATAACTCTTTATAGAAGTTTGTAAGCAGTTTAAGTGTCTGAGTGAGACACCCATGCTTGTGCCACTCCCAGGCTTGCAGAATCATTATTTGCAAGTAGAGATAAAATAAATGATACATAGATGATATTTCAGTTTGTTGCAAACTGAAAATATCCAAGACAGACTGAAACATTGTCAAGTTTCACCTATAATATGTGAGTTGATAGTTATTTGTACTATCACTTATCATAGGAGTTTATTAGTCAGGTAAAAAACCATTAATTCATCTGTATATCTAACAATTTCAACCATAACAACAGCTTTTACAGCATAGCTGAAACCCTTGCCATGAAACTTATCGTTCTGCTCATACAACCAATACTTGCCATATCCCACTGTCAGGTCTGTCTCAAATACAAACTCCTAACATTCTTCTCTTTGTACTTCATGCAGCTTCTTTCAACAAACTGGCCTATCCCTGATCGGGGGCCTTAAAGGACCAAACTTTCTCTTGTAACTTAAGTAATGTATACAGGAGAAGGGGTTACTATCCACTTGCTCCCAGCATGTTAGTTGCCTTCTCCATGTCACTATGCTCCCTATATATATATTTTATGGACACTCTTCTCAGGTAGATCTGTATGTGACTTGATAAAGCCCACTGTGTGTCTAGTTTTCCACTATATAAAAAATCACAAGTCCCTCACCTCTTCCTATCAGCTGGGTTGTGCTTGAATGCACAACATTGCTCTCATCTGGCTCTTCAGTGACACTCAGCAAGCATTCACCTTCCTGCCAATGCCGGTTATCCTAGTATAAAATATACTGGTAATACAAGGTTATATTGAATACCAAGTCTTATATAACTCTAATGATTAACATTTCTTTTTTAAATATAATAAGCTACTACGATGCCTTGATATTTGTGAAGGACTCTTCATATAAGGAATTGGAGCTACACTACCATTCTCTGCATCAAAGTTGATGATCCCCTACACCTTAGGCACTGAATGACCCTTACAACTTTGGGGATTCCCCATGAACCTAAGAAGTTGCTGCTTCTGTATTTAATAAAGAAATGTTGAGGCAGTAGTTTACTCTCATTCCTATCTTGCAATACATTCCACACTAAATAGTAAACACTAAATACCAGGCACTTTAAAGAATTCAACAAAATTTGTTATATCACTTAACAGTGATATTAAATAGTTCATGCCATTCACTTTGAAAGAAAACTGAAACATATTCATACAATGAAGAATTTGAATATCTCACCACTACACAAGATAAAACTTAAATTGGCACATGTGAGATGAATGAAAGTTAACAAACTTTGTAAGCCATTACTGCTAAATGAGTGAATATACCATACGGTAGAATTACTGACAAAATGTGTTCGTTTACCTAATATACTATTCACTATACAAGGAAGTGAGAGATGATGTGATAATGTGCTATAAAGAAGGAATTACCCATACTCACCATCATTTCAGCAGCTGAAGGCTTGCTAATGAGTAAACAACCAACATACTGCATGACAAGAAATACAAGTCCCAGCAGAATGAAGACAGACTGAACTTTACCAAGTATGTCAGGGTCAGTAAAGTATCTGTAAAAATACTGTTCATCAGAAGCAGTAAAATAATTTTTATAATTTTATGCAAAATATTTTTTATTACAGAGATGAGTGGTACATACTGAGTTATCATACGTATGTTCCTACACTACTACTATATTTTCCTTTCCTAACAATTCTTTCATTTACATGCTTACTCACAATGAAGAACAGCTGACCACTGTTGAAGACAGTAGTTGAGTGCTTGAAAAAAGTGTCTAATCAAAAAATCATCCAAAATGAACTGAAGAATATATGAGAAAAATAGGGTTACAATTCTGAAATCCCCAAAAGAGACAAACAAATTTTTCTTCAGAATTTGTAATTCAAGACTCAAAAAATAGTAAAGTTTTCCATTTCCTACATCACGGTTGTCTTTGCTCACTGATCTAGAAATGCACGAGGAGGGTTGATGTGACCTTGAACAATACCTGTGCAAGCAAATAACAGTGTCACAACTATCACCTGCCACCACCACCACCACCACCACCACCACAATCACCTGCAAACATCAGTGAAAAAAATATCACATATGATAGGATGTTTTACTAAATAAATATGCCCAGAATAATATCATCTACTATAATATGAGAGCAAGCTGTCACTATCGCCATACTCCCTCCCTCCAATGTGATATCCAGTTTTTCTTTACCTAACTCGTTTGAATTAATTAACTCGTAAACGGTACAAACGTATATATACGTTTTTACCACTAGTGCCCCAAACGTATATATACGTTTTATGTGTCCTACATTTAACATTGCCACGATAAGCCTGAGTCGCCTAGACATGTGAGAATGGGTGTGAGCACTCACTGTGCACCATATTAAAATAATTGGGGATGCCTGGGTACCATATGCTCTTTTCACCTATTAAAAAACAACAATGTTTTTTTCTCAAAAAAGTTTGGGCAGTACGGTAGTGAACGTATATATACGTTTGGACCGTTTACAGGTTAAACACAGCCAACATCCTCACACATTCTTGTTTATCACAAACTATGACTTGATCAACATTGTAAATGAAGCAGGTATTGTATACACATTACATCCAGGTAACATTCATTTTTTAACCTTGATTATGCAAAGAAGAGAAGCAGAGGATATATTATTATTATTATTATTATTATTATTATAATAATGGGGAAATGCTAAACCTATAGGATTATACAGCACCAGTGGGAGGTGGTGGATGGAAAGTATTCAGGCTTGATTCAGAGAACTGGAGCACAGATCCAATTCCCTAGATCAAGAGCCCTCACCAGTGTCAAGGCAGAGGATATATAAACACTGGTGGGAGCTGTTCTCATGGACAGCTGCAGTTCCTGTCAACCCAGAATGGTAACTCCTCACTTAATGACCTACCTACATAATGATAGCTTGGACTCGAGACCAGCTCTCCGACCAATATACATGTACACACTCAAAAATTCTAGAGGCTTCAAATCAAGCAGGGGAAAGCTGGTAGGCCCACATGTGAGAGAATGGGTCTGTGGTCAGTGTGCACAATATAAAAAAATTCTGCAGCACGCAGCGCATGAGAAAAAAAAAACTCCGACCATGTTTTTGGATTAAAATCAGACTTTGAGATGTATTTTCACATGGTATTTATGGTTGTATTCTCGTTTTCTTGGTCTCATTTGATAGAATGGAAGACATATTATAGAAATAGAGATGATTTTGATTGGTTTCACTATGAAAAGGACCTTGAAATAATACTCAAAGTAGCAGAAATGTTCGATTTTTGAAGATGTTCAAGAGTAAACAATAAACGTTCAATAAATGTTCAACTAGCCATTCTAATATGCAGTCATGAATGGGTTGACATTATTTATACAATTATTACAATAATGCAGTAGTCTGCATAACAGTAAATCTTCTACTTTTTGTGTGAATAAAAATTCAAAATAGAAAGCAAGAGTAATATTAGAGAGACCTGGAGACATGACTAATGAACAGAGAAAATGTTATTTTAATGCCAAGAATGTCTGCATTGTCATTCTGGACCCTATTTTGAAATTGGAACATTTTTTAATTTGCGTGAAATTGGCCAAATTGCCAATTTCTGACCACTTTACTGGGTAGTTGAGATAGGCAAATGGGCAATTTCTTGTACTCAATCTATAGAATAAATGGAGTTCTAAAGAAATAGCTATGAGTTAGGTCGACTGGAACAATGGAATTGGACGAAAATAGGACTCAAATTGGGCAAAATTGCCTATTTTAGCATTTAGGTCCCCTACCACAATTACTCTCTCACTTGACTCATAAGTTCCTAAACAATAGCTTAACATCTCCCAAAATCTCTCTCTCTCTCTCCTCTACACTCTTCTCTTCTCCAGTTGCATACACACTTACTATGACCCATTTTTCGCATCCGACTTTTATTTTAATCAACATAATCCTTGAATTTATAGATTTATATTCCCTCTTTTCTCTCCATAACTGATCCTTCAACATTATTGCTACCCCTTCCTTAGCTCTAACTCTCTCGGATACTCCTGACTTAATCCCATTTATTTCTCTCCACTGAAACTCCCCTACTCTCTTCCAGACAAAGTGCTATACAGTACTTGTAAATATAAAATATAATGAGCATGACTGGCAAGTAATACACATTTTTTACTTGGTCAGGAATGAGACATGATGATTTTGCATTGAGTGTAATACCCGTTGGTTTACGAGTCACTCTCTGAAACAGAGACAAGCAGATGGAAAGGCAGACACACACAGGAAGGCAGAATGACAGATAAGCAGAGCTAGACAGACAGATAAGCAGAGCTAGATAGACAGACAGACATGTTTGTGCATAACAGTGAAAACAAATCAAGCCAGGGTTCCCTGGAGCAGTTCACGATCATCAGTGCCACTCCACTGCTGAAATGTCAGCAGTTTATTGACACTCGTCATAAATGCTATGGTTCAAGGATTTTCATATATACTCCAGCAAGTCTAAAACATTGCTGAGACCTATAAATACTTTGTATATATTTCTAGACAATAGTAAGTGACCAAGGCAGGTGAAAATGTACACCTGTCAGTGTGATTGTGACTATTTGAGTACTATTTCAGTACCTAATATTAGTGTCAGAACAAAGACTGGCTATGAAATCACAAGTACTATTATAAATTGTAATTATCAGAACATAAAAATTATATAAATTAAAATAAAAATGAGAAAAAAAGGTATATCGGGAACACTTCTACAAGTGGCAGGACTTGATGTTGCCACAAGGTGAGCATCCAGTGCCAACTTCGTGGTCTTATATCTCGGTAACTACTGGTCCTAAATTTTTTTTGGGTCTTATAACACACAGAAAATTGCCCTCTTTAATTAAAAAAAAAAATTCAAAATATTAGGAGCTCTGGCAGACAGTGAAATTATCGGATACCATTTTCCTGTACCGGCTTTTATCTATTATTTTTCCTAAATTTACATTATCATCGATGAACATGAACAGTGTCAGTGTCGAGAAAATACCACAATTTTTCAACTGTCTTGTAGTGGGAACATTCTGTAAGATCACATAATAAGGGACAGACTACTGTACCTGATATATACTGTACTATAACTGTTAATAAAAGGCCAAGCTAATCATTAAGAGAAATACTGAATAATAACCTACCAATATACTGCACCCTAAGACTAACTTACTAAGTTATCAAGTGTCATTTTTTTTATTAACAAACACACTGTGGGTAATATGAAACATAAAAGATCAAAGTTTTTCTACTTACCCATCAGATTCTGGAGGTTTATTGTGAGGATTGAGATAAAGAGTTTGGAAGTTGGTTGAAAACAGAGCACCAAGTCCAAAGCCAGCTACAATTAAGCCATTGATCAGGCCTTTTTGCTGAGGATACCACTGAAAAATATATGTAATATAAGGAATAAATTTAAGAACAATTAAATCTTTTCACTGATGAAGATGGCACCCTAGGCAAGTTGAAAAATTACTTAAATGTCAGATGCATAACTAAGTTACCTAAATGTTTCTAACAGCAATAAAAGAATGAATAATGGAAGTTCTTTATTTCATCCAAAATAATTCTAACAAAGTGCTGTAGTTTTCTGAGAACAATAAATCTCGGCATAGGTAAAGGGACGCTACTGATTCAAAATATTAAAAAATATATTAAAAATATATTTTATTCATTTCATTTTCTATGTACTCTACATGCAGACATCTACATTAATTACTCCCTCAGATTTATTCATAATAAGGTTCAACCTACAATATTAACCCTTTCAGGGTCGCCAGGCCCTCTCAGAGACTTGTTCTCAGGGTCGCCCAAATTTCAAAAAAAAAAAGAAAAAAAAAATTTCTTATGAAAAGATAGAGAATCTTTTCCCGATCATAATGACACCAAAAGTAAGAAATTTTATGGAAAACTTACGGAATTCTGCTCTTGCGAAGTTAGCAGTCTGGACGATGCTTACGCATCGGCGATTTTGCCCACTTTGAGCTCTATTTTCTGCCAATTCCAGTGTACTAGTCAACAAAAATCATAACTATTTCGCTAGAACTCCATATTTTCTATCGAATGAGTACAAGAAACCACCCATTTACCGATTTCAACTATCCAATAAAGTGGTCAGAATTTAGCAATTTTGCCAATTTCACACAAATTTCAAAAGATGCCAATTTCCGAATAGGGTCCAAAATAAACAAGAAAGACATTCCTGGCACTAAAATGACAAGTTCTCTGTTCGTTAGTCACATCCCCAGGCCCCTCTTATATTTCTTTGGCTTTCCACTTTGAATTTTTATTCTTACAAAAAATAGAAGATTTACTGTTATGCAGACTACTGCATTAGAGTAGAAATGGTATAAATAATATCAGCACACTTGTGAAAGAATATTAGACTCACCAGTTGACGTGTATTGGGCGCTTGGCAAGATTTGTTTACTTTTGAACTTTGGTAAAAATTGAACATTTCTGCTACTTTGAGCTCAATTTCAAGGTACTTTTCATTGTAAAACCAGTAAAAATCATCTCAATTTCTGTAATATGTCTCCCATTCCATAAAATGAGATCAGAAAAACTAGAATACATCAATAAATACAATACGAAAATGCAGTGCAAATTCGCTGTTTTAATCCAAAAACACGGTCAGTTTTTTTGTTCTCATTACGCACTGTGTGCTGCAGGATTTTTTTTATACTGTGCATACTGACCACATAGACCCATTCTTTCATATGTAGGCCTACCAGCTTTCTCTCACTAGATTTGAGGGCACTAGAATTTAGGCGTACTAGTATGTCAAAAACCCTGGGGCGTAAGCCGTACTTGTACGGTCAAAACCCTCAAAGGGTTAAAAAGGCACTTTAACCCTTAAACTGTCCAAATGTAGATCTACATTCGCACGCGTAGCGCTCCAAACATAGATCTACGTTCGATTTTACATTGTTTCTTATGTAAAAAAAAAAGTAGATCTACATTCGGAGCACTACGCATGCAAACGTAGATCTACGTTTGGACAGTTAAAGGGTTAATTAAATTTAACACTTTAAAACCAAAACATGACAAATATATATATGTTATGGGGCTATAGGACCCAACATCAATTTATATAACTAAGCAGCAGTTACTCAAATATTTTTTTTTTTTTTATTATCACACCGGCCGATTCCCACCAAGGCAGGGTGGCCCGAAAAAGAAAAACTTTCACCATCATTCACTCCATCACTGTCTTGCCAGAAGGGTGCTTTACACTACAGTTTTTAAACTGCAACATTAACACCCCTCCTTCAGAGTGCAGGCACTGTACTTCCCATCTCCAGGACTCAAGTCCTGGAGTCAAGTCTCATAAACACGCTAAGATAACAGGGATATCTTGCTACTCCTACTTACACTTTGGTCACACTTCACAGACACGCACATGCATATATATATATACATACATCTAGGTTTTTCTCCTTTTTCTAAATAGCTCTTGTTCTTTTTTATTTCTTCTATTGTCCATGGGGAAGTGGAAAAGAATCTTTCCTCCGTAAGCCATGCGTGTCGTATGAGGCGACTAAAATGCCGGGAGCAATGGGCTAGTAACCCCTTCTCCTGTACACAATTACTAAAAAAGAGAAGAAGAAAAACTTTATAAAACTGGGTTGCTTACTCAAATGAAATACCTAATTATATTAAACTGCTGGGGACACAACTGCCTTAATTCTGTCATACGGGCAGATCACTCTTATGGAGAAAAGGCCAGTTGAGTCAAGCCCTGTTTTTTCAATATAAATAGGATGTACTATAAAGAAACACACAATTAAAATAAGTAAAGATTATAAAGTTTGTATTTATTTTTTAACTCTATACTATTTTAGTCATTATGAGCCAGTGTTTTTGACGTAGTATTTATACTTCAAAATTCTAACGGCTTCAAATCAAGCGAGAAAAAGCTGGTAGGCCAACATGTTAGAGAATGGGTCTGTGTGGTCATTGTGCACAGTATAAAAAAAAATCCTGCAGCACGCAGTGCAAAATGAGAAAAAAAGCCTCCAACCGTAACTTTGGATTAAAATACCGATTGTGAGGTGTATTTTCATATAGTATTTATAGGTGTATTCTTGTTTTCTTAGTCTCATTTAATAGAATGGAAGACATATTACAGAAATAGAGATGATTTTGATTGTTTTCATGATGAAAAGGATCTTGAAATTTAGCTCAAAGTAGCGGAAATGTTTGATTTTTGCCAATGTTGAAGAGTAAACAAATGACGTCATTGTCCAACAAGTGTCCAATTAGCCATTCTAATATGTAGTCATGAATGGGTTTACATTATTTATACAATTATTACAATAATGTTGTAGTCTGCATAACGGTAAATCTTCTATTTTTTTGTGTGAATAAAACTTCAAAATAGAAAGCAAGAGTAATATAAGAGGGGCCTGGAGACATGACTAATGAACAGAGAAATTGTTATTTTAGAGCCTGGAATGTCTTCGTTGTTCATTCTGGACCCTATTTTGAAATTGGCATCTTTTTTAATTTGCCTGAAATAGGCCAAATTGCCAATTTCTGACCACTTTATTGGGTAGTTGAAATTGGTAAATAGGCAGTTTCTTGTACTCAAACTTCTCCTTACCAACCTTAACAGGACACATGACCATAACACAAGACACAGATCTCTTCTTGATGTACCCCGTGTCCATATCACACTGTGTAAAAACTCTATGCACATAAAGGGCCCCAAAATATGGAATTCATTACCAGAAGATACTAAAGTAACCCAGTCTGAAAATCAATTTAAGACTCTTCTCAAAAGCCACTTAATCACCCTAGACTAAATGCTCAATACTCAGTACTTACATATTCAATGCGTATTCCCATATCATAATTTCAACAATTACTTTTGAACCTTTTATCCATTGTCGAAGGAATATAATTGAAGCATTGTTTCACAACCAACATTTTTTAATATATGAATATATCTTTTGTCTTATATAAATTAGATTCACTTATAACTAATAATCTAGTGTACAACTATTATATAATTATTAATCTACTGTACAACTATGATATAATTCTTAGTGTTAAATAGTCAGTAAGCCAATAATGTTAAGTTGGCCCATAATGCCTAGGCATCATAGAGGCTCTCTTTGCATTGCAACCCAAAAGTGTAAATGCATAATCTCAATGTACTATTTACAGAGACATAAATAAGTAAATAAATAAATAGAACAAATGGAGTTCTAAAGAAATAGCTATGAGTTTGGTCGACTGGAACAATGGAATTGGCCGAAAATAGGGCTCAGAGTGGTCGAAATTGCCGATGCGTAAATATCTCCGAGATCGCTAACTTCGCGTGAGCACAATTCCGTAAGTTTTCCATCAAATTTTGTACTTTTGGTGCCATTACCATCGAGAAAAGATTCTCTATAATTTCATATTTTTTTTTTTTGTTTAAATTCTTCAACACTGAGAGCAAGTTTGTGAGCAGGGGTCTCAACAGTCAAAGTTTGTGAGCAGAGATCTCAACAGTCAAAGTTTGTGAGCAGGGGTCTCAACAGTCAAAGTTTGTGAGCAGGGGTCTCAACAGTCAAAGTTTGTGAGCAGGGGTCTCAACAGTCAAAGTTTGTGAGCAGGGGTCTCAACAGTCAAAGTTTGTGAGCAGGGGTCTCAACAGTCAAAGTTTGTGAGCAGGGGTCTCAACAGTCAAAGTTTGTGAGCAGGGGTCTCAACAGTCAAAGGGTTAAAAGTAAAATATGGTGTAGCAATGAAAAAACAAAATGATTGTAGTAAGTAGTAAAAAAATTGGGCATAATGACATTCCTAGGCCTATACCTTGACAACAACCTGAATTTCAGCACCCATATCCAACACATAACCAAAAAAGTATCCAAAACAGTTGGGATCCTCTCCAAGATACTATCCTACGTGCCGCAAAATGCCCTTCTCATACTATACCACTCACTCATTTATCCATACCTCACCTATGCTATTTGTGCTTGGGGATCAACTGCAGCAACACACCTAAAGCCAATAATAACCCAACAAAAAGCTGAAGTAAGAATAATCACTAAATCCCATCCCTGGCAACACCCCCCCCCCCCAACTCTTCATAGATCTAGACTTGCTCCCTGTTCAGTACATCCACACTTACTACTGTGCAATCTACATTTACAGGACCTTAAACTCCAATATCAACCTTGACCTAAAACGCTTTCTTGATAGTTGTGACAGAACCCACAGGCATAACACCAGACACAAACATTCTCTACGACATTCCCCGTGTCCGACTAAATCTTTTCAAAAATTCAATGTATGTCAAAGGCCCTAAAATCGGAAACCCTACCTGAGAACTCTAGAATGCAGACCATTCATCACCTTCAAAAATTACCATTAGAAAACATCTTATCTCCCT